ACAAATCAAAAAGAGCCATCCTGGGGCGGGGGAGATGGCTCAGTAGAATAAGAGCTTGCCTGGCAAGCTCAAGGGCCTGAGTTCAATCCCCGGTTCTGAAAAAAAAAATCCAAAAAAAGAGCTGTCACATTGTGCCAAGCAGTACAGCTCATTTGGCCGTGCTATTTATTATGAATTTGCTAATCACAGATTACATGCACCCTAGGCATGGAGTGCACGTATATCCTTAACACAAGTCTGCGGTCCCTCCTCGGAGGTCAGCTCTCTTCTCCTCTGGGAACCTGAGGTCAGGCCCCGCCCCGCTGGGAAGCTCCGGGCGCACAGATAACCTCCCCAGGGGCTGGAAATGCAGCGTCCGGACCCGGAGAGCCAGCACCTGCTGAGGGCCATACCCGGGCCCTCCTCCGTCCACGCACACAGCTACCATCGCTAGTTCACTCTAATTTATAAATCCTTTCTCACAGACTCCCAATAAGCTTTAAAATTGAACGCTCAGAAGTATTCAATTCACAAGTCATACAACCTGTTCTCCTTGAAATGATCACTTCAGATTTGCATATGCTTAAGAGACAAAGTGCATCACAACACTCAATAAATGATGAATGAAAAACCCAGTGCAAGTGACTAGGATTCAGTGTTCCTCACAAATGCACAGTACAGGGAAGCGACTGCATTTTTCTCCTAATCTCCTAAAATAAACTAAAAATCTCCACATTGGTCTCATCAAGAGATGAGACGAAGGCAACATATGTAGTCTTCATCTAGTGGCATTTGGAGCCGGAGTGATACTCCATTAAGTCACAGTAGAGGACTCAAACAAACACAGCCTTGTGCAGTATCAGCAACATGCTCACCAACCCCGCCCAAAGAATGACTGATACGGGGGTATATGAAAGCATGCAAAGGAGACTAGGAGACACTTACTTACAGCGAGGCAAACGCCCACAGCACAAGCCAGTCCTGCTCTGGTGCACCCGTGAGGGGCGTGTGTGTGTCCATGTGTGAGCGCTGCTGTGGGCTGAACTAAACCCAGGGACTGCTCTGAACTACCATCTTTGTTTTAGTTTCTACTTGGGGGCCAAGGTCTCACTAAGTCACTAAGTGGCAGAGGCTGAGCTCAAATCTGGGATTCTCCCGCCTCAGCCTCTCAGAGTGCTAGGATTTTGGACAGGGCCCTCGAAGCTGGCTTCTTACAGAAAGGAAAACCACTCCAAGGTCCTGCAGACATGTCTGCTTCCTTTAGTGAGCCATAAAGCTGTCACTAACGTTCAGGAACCTAAGGGTATTATAGAGAGAGAGATTAAAATTTTAAATGGATACTTGGCACTATGCTTGAAATTAAAAATAATTACTTTTTTTTTTTTTTTTTTGTGGGACCGGGGATTGAACTCAGGACCCTATGCTTGCCAGGCAAGTGTTTATTCTACTGAGCTATCTCCCAGGCCCTCAAAATAACTACTTCTAGCATTTTCATGTATAACACATAAAGAACATGAAAGTGAACGGGTTGGCAGATACACAGGGGGCTGAGGCAGAAGGAGCACTTACGCTCAGGAGTCAAAGATAAGCGTGGGCAGCACAGCAAAACTGTCGCCAAACGAAAAAGTGGATGGATGGGCAAAGTAGCTGTGTAAATTCCATTGTTTACTCTGTAATCTCATTATATTTCTGACAGAAACACCCAGCTGGATTTATCATCAGCAAATGTGAGACACAGCGAAGAATTCGCCTTGTCAGATAAACACGGAAAGCATGCTTATCCTCCTTAATAACCCACTTCAGAAATAAAGGAAATACAATCTCTTCAGGTGTCTACTCCACAGAATCCAAAATCCAGCTTCTGGGCCAGCAGAACCCAGCCAAGTGAGCTGAAGGGGCCAGCCTGGGCTCCGGGGCGCTGGCTGCAGCCAGGGATCCATCTCCCCCACCCCTTCCAGGCCTGCAGCCTCTCCAGCCCGAAGGTTCAGGCTCAGAGCAGCCTCCCCAGCTACAAGGAGGCTGGGACACTCAGGGTCATTTGATCACTTAAAAAAACAGTAAAATAAAGTAAAATCCTAAATCAAAATTTGTAGGGACTGGTTTGAGGTCTAGAAATGAAAGAAGCCAGTTGTTGAAAGACTTCTGATTCTACCGTGCTATAAGTGATACCCAAAGTGGTCAAGCCCGGGGACAGAAAGTAGGGTGGCTCTGTGCTTTCTTTTTTGTTTGTTTGTTTGTTTTGTTTTGTTTTGTGGAACTGGGGATTGAACTCAGGCCCTTGCCCTTGCCAGGGAAGCACTTATTCCACTGAGCCATCTCTCCAGCCCTCTTTTGTTTGTTTTTAATTAAAAAAAAATTTTTTTTTAAAGAACGGTGAACAAGAGCCAGAGGAGTTCTAGACTTGGTTGTACAACACCACGAATGTACTTAACACTACAGAACTGCACACTTAAAATGGTTAAGACAGCAAATGCTATGTTAACTGTATTTTATCATAATTTGAAAACTAAATAAAAATTTACAGAAATAATAGTTCTTGTCTCTAGGGGCTTTTCCTAAATGCATTCATCTATTTTAACATAGGATGATAAATAACTTGCAGAGTTCACTTGCAGAATCCATAATTTAAGACATATGGGGGAAGGTAACAAGGGCCGAGTTAGTGCAATGAAGACAGCTTACGTGGCTTCCAAGGAGCCACAGGAGCTTTCGGACACCACTTCTGCCACGAGGCGGTGGGCATGGGGGGAGAAGGCGGGACCTAGGGATTCTCTAGGACCATCTCTTCATTTGAATATGCTCAAAAGTTTTCATAATAAACATTAAAAATAAAGCCATCTCAGGTAGGAAATTAAGCAGGGCAGCAGGAATGACGGAAGGGCCACTGTGGGCTTTCTACAGAGACAATGTTGAAAGAGAGAGTAAAACATGGAAAGATCTTAGAATGTATTTTACAACTATGAACTCGATGTACTTAGCATAACGCTGACAGACTTGAAGAAGGCAATGTGAATTACCCAGAAAGGCTCTTAAGAGAAAGAAATCATAAAACCAGTATAAATTTATCTACAATAAAATGACATTTTAAATTCTACTCTATATAAATTAGGACATAGGCCATTTTTATAACCAGTTTCATAGCTATGTAACTATACATTCCTATATAAATTAGGAAATAAACCATTTTATAACCAATTTTATGACCATGTGATACTTGCACATATGTGTCCGATTTATTTCACTTGAGTATGATCTCAAGGTGCATCCTCTTAGCTAGAGAAATGTCTCGAGCTCGCCCGTCTCTATGGTACGGTAGTATTCCACTGGTTAAAAAAACCTACATCTTTACATCTTCTTTATCCATTCACCTGCCCCATTATTCTCAGCTAAGGCCCATGTGACATGGCACAAGAGACTCCACTTTGCTTCCGTGGGACTCCACTTCAGAGCTCATTTAACTTAGATATGCTCGCTCCTCACCCTTCCCTCTTGCTTAGCCATAAACTTGCACAGAGAAGGACAAGATGCTCTGTGGAGGATCAAACAGAGAAGACAAACTGTGGGGCACGCCAGAGCACGACTGCACCCAGCCTAACATCCGGGAAATGTAAGCCTTGTGACCGGAAGGCCCTAACCTTGAGAACTCCTGCAAATGTCCAAAATGAGGGAGCGGCTGCTTTGGAAACCTGGAAGGTACAAAACCTCAGTACAAGTCCCCTCGGGCCGACATCCCCCAACTTCCTGCCAGTTTGTCATCTGCCAGGTTTGTTCCAATACTTGGTTTCCCATCCGTGTCCTTCTTGCTGATTTTTGCCACAACTCATCAATTAGGATTCACTCTTTGTATTGCATATGCTATAGTTTTAATTTTTTTAAGTTTTTATGAGTTCATTTTTGGAGTGCCCAATGGCCACACTCGTGGTCGGGTGTCAACGACACAGGAGCACAATTCTGCTTGAGGACTGAAATGACTGGGAAGTATGAAAGCTAGCAAGAAAACCCACACGCTGATTGAATGTTTACAAAATTAAAGCACAAATAATAACAATTCCTTTTTATCTTAGCCATAATCATAGAAGAAAAAAGATGAAAATTTAAACATGAAAATAAGATACACAGAATGCTCACGAGGTCACACAGTCCTGCACGGGGGACTCCCCAGGCAGAGCCCAGCGTCCAGTCACTGCTTAGAGCATGGGCCTGACCCTTCCCCAGAAGCAGGCCTGCACCTCTCAACTGGCCCCCAGCCCTGCTGTCAAGGCTCAGGGCCTGGTAATCTGCTGGGCCCGGCCACGACCTGCATCCCCTCGGCTTAGTTCTCAACCCTTCAGACTCACCAAGAGCCTGTGTACCCCACAAAGGACCACCCCACAAACAATCAGGGCTCTTTACTTCTTAGAAACCTGATAAATTGTCAGGTAAAGAAAACATATTTTTTTTTAAGGAAGAGATTTCAAGGAACTCTTTAAACATATTTGGCACAGAATTTGTCTAATTGTATGAATGGAAATAAAAGAGTACAGAGGCCTTTCCCATCATTTCTGAATACAATCAGAAGAAAATGTTTTAGAGTACATGGCTCACATTATTGAGAAATCTCTGATTACTGAGGTCCTTAATATTTCATAACTTGGGACTCTGACAATGGTTTTGTTTCACAACTGTCTTTTACTCTCTGAACAGAAGTAGCTTCCTAAGAAAATCTATCATGTAAACAAATGGCTTAAAGCGCAGAGAAGTGTCTGTTTACACTCGGCCAATTAATATGCTGAGCATTCTTATCTATTAAATTAAAGTGGCTCACCTGAGGACTTTGCAGATAATACTTCATTACTCTAATAATAATGAGCTACCTGGTGGAAATCAGAAAATGGGCATCTGTTTTTAAAACATCCTTCAACTCAGGCCTTTTATTAAATCAACCTAGCTTTTATACCTTAGCTTTCAACTGTTCATGTTTTATATGGCAAAAATAAATTAGTAACCCTCCACAGAAAACGAAAAGACAATTTTGTGTTTACCTTTGATGCTTTCCATTCCCAGCCATCGCCTATCTGTTGTGAATGTTTAAGGAATTCTGCGCAATAATGCTGGAATGCTTTTTCTTCCAAGAATGCATCTTCTTCCATGTTCACCGATAGCTGCAATATCAAAATTGATTATTAGCGCCAGCGTTAGAACAGACACTGAAAAAATTCTGCTAATTGACTTAGTTCTTTAAACAAGTTGAAGTTTGGACTGTTCAACAGGAAACGACCTCAGTGCCATTCTAAAATAGATTCTGCTTCCATCATTCAACCCTACCCTCATTATATTTTTATCAGTCAACAAGAAAGCCCAAAACCAAGCTCATTAAGAAATACTCACCTGTGTTTCTGTTTTTGTTTTGTGTTTTGCACTAGACGCTGGTGATCGAACCCAGACCTGGCACATTCTATCACCCAGCCACACCCAGCAGGGGCTTACGTTGTCTGTAATGATAAGGGGAATGTTGAAAATGGCTAGTTCCTTCCTGCTGTACTTTAGTATGACCTATTTTTAGTAAAATCTTTAATTTGCCCATAGCTTGTTTCAAGAGTTTTAAACATTCATACCACTTCTAAAAAACAATTCCAAACAACCTCCTTAGAACTTCTTTCTCCCCCTCCTAGCTCAACTCCTGCACTTATGGTACAACAGTGATTTGTGGAGGCCGGGCATTCTCCACACCCCCTAGCAGCTCTAGCTCGATAACAAATGATGTTCTCAAGTGTGAAATTGTCTTTCAAGGTGTAAGATTATGATCACCTGTTTGATTATTTCATCCAGTCTCCAAACATAACCTAGCAAGACGCGCCATAAGTATACAAGCATCCAAGCTGGGCACACACTGTAGCCGCAGCTCTGCAGGAGGCTGAGGCAAGACGACTGCAAATCAGAGCTTAGCATGGGCAACCTGGTAAGACCCTGTCTCAAAATTTAAAATAAAATTTGGGCCAGGGAGACAGCTCAGTGCAAAGACCTTGAGTTCAATTCCCAATATCAATCACTCAGTCAATAAATCCAAAACATGAAACACTGATTACAGAAAGAAAGTTTTACAGCTCAAAGGAAATGCACGGCTCAGAGCTCCGGCTGAGAAGCCAGACACAGTGAGCTTGCCCGCTCCATCAGCGACCGGCAGCGCCATCCCCACAGCTTACTTATGTCAAACACCACGCTGCATGCTCAGCCCCACTGATCCTCACACGACCGAGAATGCTGTTATTCCTTTTCCTCAGATGTAAAGGCAGAAGAAAACTGTGAGCAAAAGTGGGCGAGTTAGATGAACAGACACTTCTCTGAAGAAGCGCAAATGGTCAGCAAATGCAGGAAGAAATGTTCAGCACTGCTGGCTGTTACAGAAATGCAAACTGAAACAACACTGATATTCCATCTTACTCCAAAAAGAATGGCTTCAACAAGGTATCAAATAATAACAATTCATGAGACTGGAGGGGGGGGCCGACCTCTTCCTCACTGTAGGTGGGAATGCAAACTAGTGTGACCACTGTGGAAATCAGTGAGGAGATTCCTCAAAAAAGTACAAAGAGAAATGCCTTTTGACCTCGCCATTCCCCTTCAAGGCATGTCCACACAGTGAAGACATCATGTCAAGTGACTTCCAGGCACGCCGTGCTTACAGCAGCACTGCTCACTCTGGCTGTGCTGAAAGGAACCGGCCAGGATGCTCACACACAATGGAGCACAGCTCTGCCCTAAAGAACAGACTTGCTTCATTTGCAGGAATATGGATGCTCTTTGAGGCCATAACACTAAGTCAAATAAATCAGACACACAGCGTAATGAATGTCCCATGCCTTCTCTTATATGAGAAATGCAAATTATAAATAAACAGCAAAATCAGAGACAGGTAATGGGAATTAGAGAGATAGTTTTTTGTTTTTTTTTTTTTTTTTTAATGAGAACAGGATCAAAAGATGGAGGAAAGAGTGAAAGGGAGTAGGAAAAAAGAATGGAAAGAAAAAGTGGAAACAGGTTCAGCAAGTAGGAAAGGGACCAAGAGTTAGAAGGAGGAGGGGGAAGGGAGGGGAGGGTCAGGGTGAGAACAAAGAACTGAGCCGCGCCTTGCACACTGCAGCTCCCTGCAGCACGGAATTACTGTGTGCTGCGTATGTGACTCCTACCAGGACAAAAATGAAAAGAACACAGCTGCAGGAGCTGGAGGTGTGGCCCAGCAGCTGCATCTAACAGGCGGGAAGCCCCAGGTTCGATCTCCAGCACTGCGAAGAAGTAAATAATACACCCAAGCACAGATGCAAACCCTGGTTTGGCTCCCGAGCCAATGATTTGCCTGTACTAGCCATTTCCCAAGCTGATGATGTTCTGGTTATGAAATGCAGCATGACGTATAGAAGAACACAGTCATTCTGAATATAGTGAAAAAGCAGGCTCTATACACAAGTAAAGGGCAGATACAGGAAAGCGAAAAGCAAGAGCAGTCTTTGCCTGGAGTTCATACTGTGACAGAGGAGGCAAACAACAAAGAGCATTCCAACACAAACTCAGACATAACCTGCACTCACCAGCATGCCAGGTCACTGGCCCAATGTGCAGCCCTCTCTGCAGAAGCCGGCCAGGGCCTCCAGCCTCGCAGCACGGAGCTCCCCAGCTCCCGTGGTGACTCGGTTACTTTTCTCCCATGGCTGAGATGAAACACCCAACACCAAAAATTAAGGAAGGACAGCTTTATTGAGCTTACAGTTTGTGAAGGCTTCAGGCCGGCTCCAAGGCAGAGTGGTCGGTGGCAGAGGGCAGCAGTTCAGGGCCGTGGAACACAGCAAAGCAAAAAGGGAGGCGCGGTGGCCAAGAGCAGCCCTCTCTCTTCCTCATATTGCACTCGGGCTCTCTGCCCCAGGCAGGGCAGCACTCACACACGTTATCCCAGCACTGGACCAGGAATCACTCATAAGTCATAGAAGCCGCCCCACGATGCACTGGGCTCTGGAGGACATCTGGACACAGACCGCAGCACATGGGCTGCAGCTGTCCACAAGCGCCTCCTCACATCACAGATGCGTACTTCATTTCAAGTTAAAGAAAGTAAAGCAGTCACGCTCAGGTTAGACAGGCACGGCTCTGTCCACACGCCAGCGTCCTGACTCTGCTGAGCTACAGGTGAGTGTGTGGAGAGAAACCTCAGATCCCGACTGCGCCGCTGGGCAAGGGCTCAAGTCCCTTCCTGGCTGCCACAGCAGAACTCTACATCACCCAGGCTGGCTTCCAACGTGCAAGCGTCCTGCCTCGGTCCCGAGTAGCTAGGAGGACAGGTGTGCGCCACCACGCCTTGCTGATGTCTTAGGTTTCCATGACAAGCCATCCATGGATAAAGCAGAGGGGCTGCAGTGGGGGTCTGGGCTGGGGGCCAGCAGGAGTAAAGGGAACCAAACAACAAAGAATGTGGAGCTCGGTGCTGCTGCACAAGATGCACAGCTGCAGGGAGGGGGACAGACAGTCAAACTGTGCTAAAGTTACCCCTGTCCCACTCAGTAGGGAAGCGGGGGCAGATGGAAGGGGCCTCAGAGATAGGAAGGATCTGCCTGAGGGAGCAAGGCAGAAAGGGCGTGGCCGTTTCCATAGAGCAACTGGGGCACCAGAGCTTGAGGAGCTGGTGCCGGAACACTTCATGGGTGGGGAGGGTAGAAGG